CGGGCATTTCTCCTTGGGCTTGAGTCGGAATATGACCATGTTTTGCAACAGTTGCTCACCACATGCCGCATGTTAGCAACAAAGACGTTCAAGTTTCAACAAATCGATCGTCCAGCTTGGGAAGAGATATTCAGGACCAGCTGCCTTTCTGGATCTCGAATCCCATCGCTACACCCGTACATCTCTCGGCTACAGCGTCTATCCCACAAGATAAACGGTGGTCATAGCAATGCTTGAGTCGTTGTCGGCCCGCTAGTGGACAACCCCAGATGATCCCAAAGGTGGTGATGGATCAACGGATGGTCGTTGTGGATGGTCGGTTCCACGTGAGGATGACAAGAGATCAAGCGATCCACGAGATGGGACTGGTGTGGACTACGCGTTTGGCGCGGCCACCATGGACGGTTGCGGCGGTTGGGCACATGCACCTGGATCGACCCCTATCTCACGCATCGCATTGTTGTTGGAAGTCCATGGCAGGATGACACTATTCATAAAGGTCCACGTGCTGGTTTCTACCAGATTGCTACATTTTTGTCAGCCTCACATCGTCCCGAGGCTTGCCACCGTTCAGAAGCTGATCAGGCCTTCAGAGCATTGCCGCGCACATCTTCTCAACTTCAGTCGTCCTCATGCAGGTAGGCATATGGAAAGGCACATGAGACTTCATGGAGATGGACTTTATCCGGCGACTTCATTTCCCAGGACGCAGGTCCATCACGTTGCCAAACGCAACCATCCACTGCAAGGTTGGCTTGGACGGCCCGATATCAACAACAAACGCCAATGTCTCTCCTCCGGGCAGCGGGATATTTTCCGGCACAGGCGAGTCCAAAATCTGGAAATAGCTCACCACGCTCCCATCGTCGGCGGCCTCACCTGCCTTTCATCCGGCGGAAAATCCCACTGCACCTCAGCGCTTACCGCCCAGATGGACGTAGACTGACTCGGTTACTTTCTCACTCCTACCCCGTGAAATGCTACGGATGTTTATCGGTACTCTAGGTCACATATGTAGGTTCTCCACGGGGTTGACTATGCACGTTGACCAAAAAAGACAGAAAAAGTCGCCCGGGCAGCACCGCATCATGTTCCCGAAGTGGGGCCGACTTTCTCCGATCCACACAAAGTTTCAACACCGGTGTTCTTCTGTTCAATGTTCACACTTGGCCATTTCGACTGTCACTCGCTGGATGTATGTATTCAGCTGCTTTCCGATGTTTGCCCTCGGCCGACAAGGTGGGATTTGAGACATACCTAGGCTTTCTGATGCCACAAGTATCGGCACCCATCTTTTCTATCAAGCTTGTGGCCATTGATGCACAAACACAATATGGCACTTGGCTTGTGAGAGTCCAAGACCTTTCAGCCTCTGGCTGCCTCCGGCTGCCCGGGTCCTTCACGTTTACACAATTACTACCTTTTGCAGCACTGGGTAACTGGTTAAGGGTGTGCTAGAAGTTGACTGCGGCTAGAGCGCCTTTTGCAAAAAAAAAAAAAAAAAAAGGTAAATTCGAGCTGACATCAGCAACCTGTTGGTGCAATCCTGTAGACGGGCGATTGACGGCTAGCCATCGGCGGCGGTCGGCTAGGCGGCAGGGCAAGACACCCTTGGCGGGACGGCATCCGTGGACCATCACGGTAGTAGGCCAAGAGGCGGAGAACGACCAGTCCGAAATATGTTCGGCACCGTCCTCAACATCGGCTTACCACGGGATCATTCGTGTTCTGTCCATCCAAATGCGCTTCTAGTTCAGTCACAGCAAACGGCCGCCGTAGACTATATCTTTGGGGACCCGATGTGTCAAGAAAACGGGTGTCGCTGTCGATCAACCCGCGCCGGGAGTCTACATAGGTAGTGGGATTCTATGCAGTTCAGAAAAAGCTGAGAACTGAGCGGTTCAACTCGACGGTGGCGAGACGCAGCAGACGCGGTGCCTTTTTCGCTGACCCAGCCAAGTCGCTAGTCAGAGCCATGTCCGCCATGCGTGCCATGCACCGACACCGCACCTCCCTCCCGTGCCTCTTTGGGCGGGTGCAGATGCGAAGACACGTCTTGAAGTCGAGTGAAAGCACATCTCCACACTGGATTCGCCTCTGCGGGGAACAATCGGTACAGAAATGTGCTCCCCGAGTCCCCAGACCAACCAGCGGAGCACGCCTCTTTGGTTTTGAGGAAAGGGAGGGAGGAGCTGCTATCTGTACCCGCAAAGATAGTGAAGGCGTTCGTGGAGCAGGCGAGATAAACGTGTGCCCGACGAACTCTTTACGGGTTTCCACTGCTGTCTAGACACCCTTTTCTTCGTGGAGAATCCGCCGTGGAGCATGCGCCGTCCGCTCTACACTAGTTGCTTGCTCCATCATCCATCCTTGTCCCGTCTGCTCGCAGCTAGAATTATGGATCCTCGGGGTTTCGTATCGTGCTAGAAACCCCCCCCGGCGTCTACAACACACACGCCGTTGTGGAGTTCCTCTACGGATACATGAGTAGGCGAAGAAGCGGCTACCTTAGCCGCTACGAATCGTCTGGGTTGAACGTTGATCCAGAGTCGAGATGGAGACCTCGCTGAGGGTCCATCCACATCGTGAACACCCTCACGGAGGGGCCACGAGAGGATGCAGTCCAAAGATTAGTCTGGACGTTCGAGACCTGACGATCGCAGTCTTTTTCTCCATTGTGATTGATATCGCTGCCCAGTAGTGTGGAGGGAGTTATGTCCTTCTTCATTGAGGTAAGTTCCCTGACGATCCCATGGGAATTCCGGGCTCTTGTCAGATCATACTATTCCGAAGTCAACAACTGCATTCGACGATGTTTCGTCGAAGAGTTTCTTCCACGTTGTGACCTTTGACCCGTGCACGTGGAATAGAGATAGGATCACAATCATGGCATTGCAGTCGTGGATGGAGTCATGGGTTACGAGTTGATGTGCTTGTCCTCAACATCCGCATGGCACTCAGTCATCAACATCATGGCGACATCCCGAAGAAGAGTTTCCACAAAGTCCTCATCGTCGTAGACGATTGCGATTTCCTTCATAATGGCACCTTCCGCTCCCCACATGGCGCCATGAATGGTCATCAAGAGTACGCAGTATGTCTTGCGGGCTGGATGCCCACCTCTGACCTCGAGTATAAGTTCCCGCAACCAATAAGTATGTGGAACCCATAGCCATCTGGCGTTCTGAGACCGTCGTGTCTCTCGTACTCTGCGACGATCATCCGTTCCCACAAGTACACTTGCTACGGACTGGGAAATCTGCCCGTGTAGAACTCAGGGACGAGATCATAGCGCGTGGATAAATCTTTCCAAGCGACGCCTTTCTGAAGAATTTACTATCTTTCACTTCGGCCCGCTGGCCTCATATTCATCAGTGATTCAACTTGGGATGGAGGATAGTGAGAGCTTGTAAAGCGCTGCTTTACCAATCAAGGACGACATTCCCTACTGTCCACTACTCACAACATCAAGATGAGATGTGTGGTTACTCAAGGGACCACCTCCAGAGTCTTAGTCCTACAATGCACGACTGGTGCGTGTGAAGTTCGGCCTTCACATCTACCACGGACTTTTATACAATCGACTAGCTAGGCCTGATTCCATGTATCGAAAGCCTGATATCCCAGCCACCGCAGAGAGCTATAACTTGACGTGTCTAGGGGTGAGAAACTGCTGCGTTGCTCGTGAACAGCGCCTAGGTTGAGCCTCCTACCGAAATATCAGCGCATCTAGACGCATCTGGGGCTCAGACCCGTGACCATATGGCTCTTCAACACTTCTGGCTATCTGATGTCGAGATGTAGGCCCCTCCCTGTGAGTGCGACAGCCTTGGGCTCTGCTTGAGATAATGGTCCATTGACTTGGGGGTAACTCATGATGGTAATGTTACACTAGGCGACATCTTGTCGACATCGATTAGACAGTATTTACTCATTCGATCGGTTCGCAGGCCTATTGGAACATGGGCAAGGAAATTAACTCATTAGTAGGTTCGCAGTAGATGAGAAAATTGGTCCCATGCTGTTTATGTCTCTGCTCGGCACGGGAACATATTACAGGGCGCTATCATAGACCGAATAATCGATGAACGAAATCCCCCTTTCAAAGAGGAGTTTAAGTGGTAGTAGGTAAGTATATTGTGGTCTCGATGAGAGATTGACACAAGACCAGAGATTTTATCATGGCTAAAAGCCCGTTTCTTCTAACACATGAAATGCACAAATACAACGTAAAGAACCCAACACAGAACTTGACACTCCAGCCCAAAGACTTTACTTTTAACTAACATAGGATTCAACGTTTCGATGCCAAAAAGCTAGAGGAAAACTCAGGAGTGAACCTTTAAACTACAGTGCCCCTCATTTCCCGATCCCACTTACACCAGGACTACACGTTATCAACTCATCATAAGCTTAGATGCTCGACCTGCTTCGTAAGTATGCAGTTATGACAACTTCATGTCAGGTGTGTTTTGTAGAATAGATGCCAGTGATTCAATATACGCTAATAGGATGACATAGATTCTGTAAGACACACCTGACATGGATACTTCGAATGAACCGACGGCATACTCGCTGCCCATATTCCGTAATGCCTTCAATTACACTCTTGGTCCGTTCCTACATACCAGGTTAAGAGGATCTTGGTACAATTAAACGCTTTCGCATGTCTCATTCGCTGCCGCTTACTCAAACTTTGAGACATTCATCATATGCAGCTAGCATCAACGAGGTCTCGGATACCAGCTGCTGAAAACTGGACTCCTTCAAGATTGAACCCCAGAGTCAGCAAAGGCGGACATCGACTGTAAAACACCAATGTTCAAGGGGGAAAGTGCATGTCTTTCTTGCGTGGATGCTCCTTATCCTCCCAAAAAGGGAAAAGAATCTAGATGACGTCTTTACACCTCTGAGATGTTCATCTCCGTCATGCATTCTAGACACAAGAGACTGCGAGTAGCAAGCAATATCAGTATCACGCAGTGCAAAGTGGACTCATGTGTGGACAAGACTTCTTCATTTTTGCATGCTGCTAGCTTCATCGGGACGTGAACCGCTCTTCACGCCACCCCTTCTCTTTCCAATTTTATAAAACTACCAAAGGACAGAGGAACATTATTCATTACAAGTTGGAGTACTTCTTGAAAGCGCCAATCAGGCCGCCAGTGGAGGCGTCGTGGCCCTCACCGTTGCCGGCCTCGTCAAGCTCCTTGAGAATCTTCTTGGCCAGGACCTTGCCCAGCTCGACACCCCACTGGTCAAAGGCGTTGATGTCCCAGATGGCAGCCTCAGTGAAGGTAAGGTGCTCGTAGTAGACAATCAGAGCACCAAGCTCGGCGGGGCCAATGTGGCCACCGACCAAGATGCTGGTGGTAGGGCGGTTGCCGAGGAAGATCTTGTGGGGGACAAGCTCCTCGGGGGCACCCTCGGCGCGGACCTGGTCAGCGGTCTTGCCAACCATCAGGGCCTCGGCCTGGGCAAAGTAGTTGGAGGCGAGCATCTTCTGGTGGACACCGTCGCCGATGGGGTTGTGGCTCTTGGCGGCCAAGATGAAGTCGGCGGGGATCAGCTTGGTGCCCTGGTGGACGAGCTGGAAGAAGGAGTGTTGGGCGTTGGTGCAGGGCTCGCCGAAAAGGATGGGACCTAGTCGTGGTTGTTAGTCTTTGCGAGCACAGTCGTATCAAGGCATGTACTTACCAGTGGTGTACTTGGCGGGAGTTCCGTCAGAGGTGATGGTCTTGCCGTTGGACTCCATGGAAAGCTGCTGGAGGTAGGCGGGGAAGCGGTGCAGGTACTGGTCGAAGCTGTTTGCGACTTGTTAGAACCAAACAATCTGTTGATGCTCGGCGTAGGAAACACTCACGGAGCAACCAGGTGGGTCTGGGCCTGGAAGAAGTCAGAGTACCAAACGCTCAGGAGACCTCCCAGAACGGGGATGTTCTCCGCAAGGGGAGTCTCGCGGAAGTGCTTGTCCATCTCGTGGGCACCAGCAAGGAACTTGTGGAAGTTGTCGTAGCCGACGTAGATGGCGACGCTGAGGCCAATGGCACTCCAGACGGAGTAGCGACCGCCAACCCAGCTCTCGAAGCCGAACATGTTCTTGGCGTCGATGCCGAACTTGGTGACCTCCTCCTCGTTGGTGGACAGAGCAACGAAGTGCTTGGCGATCTCGCCCTTGCCGTCCGTCTTCTCGAGGAACCACGACTTGGCCGTGTTGGCGTTGGTGGTGGTCTCTGCGGTAGTGAAGGTCTTGGAGGCGATGAGGAAGAGGGTGGTCTCGGGATCCGAGTTGGCGAGGGCCTCGGCCATGTGGGTGCCGTCAATATTGGAGACGAAGTGGAGGGTTTGGTCCTTGGCACCGTAGTGCTTGAGGGCCTCGGTGACCATGACGGGGCCGCTGCGAGGGATGTTAGTTGGAACCCCGGAGACTTCTCTGTGTTTACAGGTAGGAGGGGGGAGCAGAAAAGACTCACAGATCGGAACCTCCGATGCCGACGTTGACAATGGTGGTGAGCTTCTTGCCGGTGTAGCCCTTCCACTCGCCGCTGCGGACCTGCTCGGAGAACTCCTTCATGTGCTCGAGAACCTCGCGGACACCGCCCTTGTTGCCCATGACGTCGACGCCGTCAACCTTCATGTCCCAGTCGCCGACGTTGCGGAGGGCGGAGTGGTAGACGGCGCGCTTCTCGGTGAAGTTGATCTTCTCGCCGGCGAACATGGCATCGCGCTTCTTCTCGAGGTTGGCCTGCTCGGCGAGCTTGACGAGGAGGTGGAGGGTCTCATCGTTGAGGAAGTTCTTTGAAAAGTCAAAGAGAATATCGGTGCCCGAGGCCGAGTTCTTGAAGGTACGGCTGAACTTGGCGAAACGATCCGTGTCGGCTGCGAAGGCTTCCTTCAGGACAAAGTTCTTGCCGACGTTGTCGCGGTGAGCCTGGAGCTCGGCCCACGCGGGAAGGCTGGATGCTTGAGGCATTTTGGGCGGTATGGAGTGGTGTCGATAGAAGCTAGAGATTGGAGGATGGTGATCTGCGGAGGAAGAGAACGTCAGCAATGGGATTCTATGGGCATGTATGCAGGTGTGGTGATGGGAAGCGTACCTCTTGGGTATCGAATTGACCAAGAGAAGGTATATAGAGATCAGGCTAAAAACAAGAAAAAGGGGGTATGTAAGAAGTCAGGTTAGGTAAAAGGTGTGTGTGTGTGTGTTGTCGTGGACTGACTATGACAGTGGGAGGAGTAGGACGGGGAGAGTTGCGGCGGTTCTACTGGGACCTAAGCAACCGTGGAAGGAAGTGAAAGTGGGATGGAATTGGATGGGTGCGGCTTTCAGAGCTCGAAAGCAGCCAATGGGAGGGCTCAACTTGAGGTGGCATGTCTGGCGTGGAGGGGTAATTGCGTACAAAAACACTGCTGGAACGCGGGGCATGGCACGCTGTATTCGCACCGAGTGAAGCAAAAGCACTGACCTTTTGGGGGGAAATGACGCCAGGTGAATTACCTAAGCGTGCTAATGTACCTCAAATACCTTACCTAGCAGAGATTCTGCAAGTGGAAGAGAGCTAGGTACCTAAGGTAACAAGGACGCTCAGTAAGGCAATGGCAGGGGATGAGCTAGATAGATGGGGGTATCAATGTTGGTAGGTTAGAGAAGATGGAAAAATGCAAGGCAGAGAGGGAGAGGAACGAGGGAAAGGGACAAGAGCAAGAGGATAAGCAATGTGGGAGGGCTGCGCTTTAGAAGAAAACGGAACACGAGACGACGATACCTCTCACACGTTCACCCTTCACGTACGGATATTGTCAAGGCCGTCGGATATCTCTCACGAGCCGCGGGAACTTACCTCGAAAGAAGTGGGCTGGGAACCGGGTCCCGTCGCTATTGTTGAGTGAATTGGTGAGCTTCTCGTCCAAGTTTCTCCGTCATCGTCCACCGTCATACCCCCTGCCCCGCCGTGCCCCCCCCCGCCGGCGTCGCTGGGACAGCCCCGAAGCAGAACGAAGCTTACCTAAACACACGATACCAAGCTCCGTACCTCGCACTTCCCTCGTCTCGACGGTCTCCCAGCCATCCACTAACACCTATCGCCATCTTCCATCCACAATCTCAGCCAACCGTACCAATTGACGCTCCTCTTTCTTATCTGCTATATCCGACAGCCGATTACTCATGGCGGATGCATTGAAGCTACCTTAATAACCCCCCATCCAAACCCCCACCAACCAAGTCCCGAGGACAAGTTCATTTTTTTTTTCGGCCCTTGAACTGGAGCTTTAGTGTACTTTACCTGCCTGCTCCCGGGATAATGAGATATTTTGTCATCGGGATAATTCTGTCCGGGCGGATACTTGAGGCTGTTCATGGAGCACATAAACTCGGCCTCCGACTCCCTGCGGCTACAAAATGTGCCAAATCGATTTACTTCCCCAAGCAGCTCAGTTGAGAGGCTGGCATGCTGCAGAACATCGTGAACCTTGAGATGACAGGTCTTGAAGCGGTCACTCCGATATGGTGGGCCCTGCGCTGACTAACTCCCGCTACATCCCGTCCCGGTAGATCCGACGTCCGATCTCTTTTGTCAGACACCACCATGGACGTCCCGGCCCGATTCCGTCCTCTTTCCCCAGGCGGGGATTTGTCAACATGTACCAATTCCAAGTTCGCAACTTACATTCCTTGGTACGTTAGCTTAAGGTAGAGGACTATGTGTTGAAGATGCCATCAAGGATTAAGAGTGCATCACTACCATGTCAAGCTGGAAGGTGCAGAAAAAGATGCCCATGAATGATGATGCTGAGAGCTGATTCGTCTGTCTGTCTGCTCAATGATCTGTGCCTATCTACATTTCCTTTTCCCCAAAAGGCGTCATCATGCCCATTCCAGAACGCCGTTCAAAGACGAAGATGCAAAGCTGTTTGTTGTCGAGTGCGCGTGCGCACTCAATGTGCCCCCGACCATTCCCTGTCGAGTTGCTTTGCTGTGAGCTTAGCTTAAGCTAAACCCTTGAATCACCAAGCCCACCCCACACAATATCATGCTTCGCTTTCTTTCTAGCCCTGCCCTGCTCTGCCCCCTTTGCTGAGCCTGCTTTCTCTCCATTTCTATTCTTCAACCATGCTCAACTCGTCCACTGACTCGTTGTGCGCAAGCCGCCTATCGGTTGTCCTGGATGCTGCCCACAAAGGAAGGGTCCTTGACACTGCCTCCGGCATCGCCCAGACCCGCAATAGGTCGGTTATAGCTGAAGCCCTGGAACTGGTTCTGCATCGTCTGCGAGAGCATCGGGCCCTCCACGTACGAATCCTGGGGTGCTTCTGACGTGAACTCGGGATCGAAGTTGGCTGTGTCAAGAGCGTCCACCTGAAAGAAAGCGCGTGTTAGCGGAAGCTGCCATGGAAGCAAATCGCACTTATTTAATTTTTTTGGGCAGTGCCATCATCATATCATTACTTACCACGTTGGGCTTGAACGCAGGCTCGTACTTGCGCTGAAGAAGCTTGCGCCAATCAATGGCGTGGAAGAAGGGATGGGCTTTGATCTCGGCCGATCCATTGGCACCAAGACGCTCCTTGGGGTCGCGGTTGAGGAGCTTGGTCAGGAGATCCTTAGCCGCGGGGGGCACGACGTCATGACCGGGGAAGTGGAGAGGCTCCGAGAGGATCTTGCGATACATCTCGTTCGTGTTCTCGTCGTAGAAGGGAGGCAGTCCCGTCAACATCTCGTACAGGAGAACACCAAGGGTCCACCAGTCCACCGTCTTGTTGTAGCCCTGACCCATGAGCAGCTCAGGCGCCAGGTACTCGGGTGTACCGCAGAATGTGTTGGTTCTGTCCTCGTCCTTCATGTCCAGCTTGCAAAGGCCAAAGTCGCAGAGGGCAATGTGTCCCTGGTAATCGAGGAGGATGTTCTCGGGCTTGAGATCGCGGTAGATGACGTTGAAGCCATGGAGGCACTCGAGAGCGCACAGGAGTTCGGCAGTGTAGAAGCGCGAGCGGTTGACGTCGAATCTTTGCTCCTTTTGGAGGTGGTGGAAAAGCTCGCCTCCGTTGACAAAGGCCAAGACGAAGTAGAGCTTCTCAGGCGACTGGAAGGTGAACTTGAGGGGAACGATGAAGGGGTTGTTAATCTGCGCCAATACCGAGCGCTCGGCAAGGGTATGGGCGACCTCGGATCTGGAGATGATGTGTGCTTTGCGGATCGTCTTGAGGGCGTAGATTCTGTTCGTGTCCTTCTTGCGCACCTGCATGACCTTGCCAAAGCTACCCTTGCCCACCACCTTGAGCAACTCAAAGTCCTCAATCTTGAGCTTTCCGGCGCGGTTCTCGACGTACTCGACGCCGATCTTGACCTTTCCGGTTCCGTACTGCACATCCACCCACTCGACTCCGCTGTGACCGAGGGCGCGCTCACGGGCGGCAAAGTCAGCCGCAGCCTTCTCGCGATCCTTCTTGCTGAGCTTGGGGTCCTCGACGAACTGGTGCTTCTCCTCGAAGCGGGGATTGATGCGGGCAACACCGAGGAAGATGTCCTGGCTACGACCGGATCCGGGAGCAGCGAGGGGGTTGCGCATGTACAAGTGAATGACGAGTTCCGTCACACGAGACACATCGAACTTGTACTGGGTGTTTCCTCCGGCCCAGAGGGGGTTCTCTGGTGTTCCCTCGACCGAGTTGACAAAGACCTGCATCTTGTCGAAATCCAGCAAGGCGTAGGGCATGTACTTGCCGGAAATGCGACCATGGTTGGTAGGAATTCCAGTAAAGCCACCGCCAGATGTCTGTGGCCGAGCCGCGCCATTGATGAAGGAGCCGACAGCTCCTCGTTGTGAAGAAGAGGGACGCACGGAGCCGGCGACGCTGAGGGCACCGCCTGTGGACAGCGAGCCTTGGTGTGAAGAGGCAAATGCTGCTCTGTGTTGTTCGGGGAGGGAGAATCCGTGACCCTCGTGGAGGGTGACGACGAGAATACCGGGCTTGGGAGGGTTGACGACCGGTACTTGCGCCATGGCCTCAGAGGCAGCTGTAGTAGTTGGGTTAGTATGAAGACGAAAGGAGTAATGGGTCGGTATGGGGGTATTGGAGGTTCGTGGACGGGAAGACGTACCGATAGTGTTTTCGTTCGTGGGAGTGGCCGAGCCTGCAATGTTGGCCTGAGCCTTTTCGCTGCTGTCGGTAATGGTAGATGTAGAGGGGGATCGAGAGAAGGTGTTGGCCAAGGGACCCAAATGGGTCTCCTTGAGCTTCTTCGTCAACTTCCACGACATTTTGGCAGGAAGAAGGTACGAAGGAGGGGGGGGATTTATCGCCGAATGCGCAGATGGCGAATCGGACTAGTGGCGATGAAAACGGGTATTGAGAAGTCAAAGTCGGGTTGTATGGTGATGCGTGCGATCGAAGGTGAGGAGAGTACCGTCGAGGAAATGCGAGGTGGTGAGGTGAGGTTTAGGTGACCCTTCGAGGTGAGGCGAAGCGAGTCGAGGCGGGGCGAGGAATAAAGATTGTTGTTTGGTGTTTTTGGGGGTGCGGTAGATAATGCACAGGTAGGTACGGTACCAAAGAGTACGGTACGGTACGGTACGAGCACGGGTACGGGTAGGAGTAGGACTCAAAGAGAGAGAGAGAGAGAGTATGTGTGTGTGAGTGAGTGAGAGAGAGAGGAGAGGTCGCTCTGGGGTCGTGATTTGTTGGTGGAGGTTCAAGGTTGGTGTACAAAGACGCTCGTTGGATCGTTGTGCTAGAGGAACCCCGCAAATTCCGCCCCCTCTCTTACTGCGTAGGCCTTTGGCTTCTTTTTTGGGGGTGGACGGACGGTACGTGTGTGGTGAGACAACCTGGCGCCGCTGGGCTGGGAGGTTTGGTTGGTTAGCTGGGTTCTGGTCGCTGTTGCTGCTGCGCTGCTTGGTATGGTACCTTGTGCTGGGGATACCTTATTGCTGACAAAAACGGGGTGACGGGGTGGCACAGTGGTGCAAGATTCCAAGTTCCAAGAGAAATCCAGTGGCACTGTGGGTGGATGGCGGGGTGAGGAGTGTGTGTGTCTGCAGGAAGAAGAAGAAAACCCGCAGGACAGGGGCCAGAGAGGGAAGAGAATACTGCGAGATGCGAGGTGTGGAGGAGAGAAGAGGAGGAAGTAGAAGAGCAAAAGAAGGGATTCCGAATTCCTTACCTTGGTTCAGATGCTATTCTCAGCTGGGGAGATGATACGGGCTGAGCTTGGGAGCTGAGCAGTACCGGGTACGAAGAAGTTGAGTACGGAGTCAGGTAAGGAAGGTAGACGTTGCTGAGGAAGAGGGAGGACGGGATGGAGCCCAGGGCAGAAAAGGAGAGGGAGGCACAGGCGACAGGAGGTACCTTCCTTACAGGTAGGAGCCGAGAAAGGTAGGAACGGGCCTGGGAGTACAAACCAGGTAGCTCCTGCCACAATTGTGTCTTAACTCACCTTGTGATTTTTTGGATGGGATTCAGGGGCTTCTTTCCAAAGAAAGACAGTTTGCTCTAACTTTTACGAAAAGTAAGCACGGAGTGATAGGTAGTGCACTCAAAATACCTACAGAGTGTCGTCCAGATGTACAAGCAGTAGCCAAGTTGGGACAGGATTCAGGAGGCACAGGAGGGATGGGAATAGGAGGTGCGTCAGTACCCAAGACTCAGGAGGCGGTGCATTTTGGGCCCCGGGGAACTTGGAAGGCAAGACCTAGGGGTCAACGAGGGGGGGGACAATGATGAAATCCCTCGAGTTCACGCCTGGGAAAGCCTGTTCTGATACTCACACGGTACGGGGAGAGCGATACAAGTACCCGGCAAAAGGCGAGACATTTCGACAAAGGCACAGGGAGTCGGGGACATGCTCTTCACACAGTAGCAAAAGCCCACATGGCCGAGAGGGGCGGTGGACACGGGAGAAGGGGTAGGTACGAGACAGGTACAGTGTCCTCTCCCTCAAGGACTGTGATTACCAAAGATTCAAGATGCTGACCAAAGCTGCACAGCAACAAGTTAGCTCGTTACCCCCCAATTTGACCACCAAATTGCCTCTCTTTTCCATCAGCCAACCACGTCTCGCAAACCCCCGGCTGCCTCTTGCTGAACCTGGGCAACTGGGCAACCGGGCTGATGGTTTGACGTCCAACCTCAATCAACTGTCAACTAAGCGAAAGTCAATCCAAGTTGGATAGTGCGCCTGCATGCACATTGCATTGGGCATCGGGCACCTGTACGGAGTATTGAGGACGGCTTGTTTGCATCAACATGTATTACGTAGTACACCGCGATCTTGGGCCGCATCCAAGCTCATTGCCAGAAGCTTGAGCAAGAAATTCGACAAACTTACCTAGGTATGGCTGTTCCGATGTTATCTACCAAGGCTGCTCTGGCCTGTATCACACATATAGACGTTGAACATTGCTGGGTGATGCACAGTACCTTCCAGGACATTGGCGAATGAACAAACCGTACGGCATTCCGTCCTTGTGTGTTGTGCATATGGACAGATCGTTCATCAAGGATAAGGTACCTAAGGCAACTGCCATATTCCGTACGGACTGAACTAATAAGGTATCACACGCAGCTACCTGATTTCCGTGCACTTCATCTGTTCATCAGCGGATCCAGGATTAAGCGGCTCGATAGTCCCTCAAATGCCCCTTGTGTATCCGTACAATATATTATATGTCTGCGTAAAAGCACCTGCCATCTGCAGCCCGGAGCCCCATCCCGCCAAAACCCAAGACTCGGACTAACAATTGACAAGTTTGGAGAGCCCGTTGCAATATGTGCACTAGAGGCGGGAGCCCTGCGTCGATCCGTTACAGCGCGGCGCACGTGAGCCAGGGGACCCCATCCACGGGAAGAAGCTGCACTGTGTTTGCGGCCCATTGTCAAATCAAAGCTAACTTGACTTGCAAAAGACACAGTACCTATCAGAACGGATACCTACCTATTTCTTCAGGGGCAACTGGGCAGCTGAACTTAGGTAGGTGTACTCAAGGAAAGCTTTCTTTGCATTATCCGAGTGTTGAGAAGATCGTCTTTCGAAGCTCGCACTCAAGAATAGTTGCATGTGATTGACTGCTCTTTGGCATTATGGACGTTTCGTCAGCCTTACTCCTCCTCTTCTGCGCCGATTGACCCATGCTGATGCAACATTATGCCATATCAAGCTGGCGCATGATATGTCGAGTCTCGTCTCTCGCAGGTACGGGGTTTAAGGGGAACGATGCCGCCGGTGGGATGTGAAACTCACGAATAGGTACTTTCCATGTCACGTGCGAGATCGACCTCACTGCACCCGACTCCTGAAACCGCGGGATCTCAAGATCACTGGACGTCTCACGTGATCACTACGACATTGCTTACATAACTCACACTTGGCCCCGAAATGGCATGAACCCACCCACAATCCCGGGAGAGCTCCATTCCTTCCAGACTTGGGGTGGAAACAGCGAAAACGGGGCCTAACGGGTTGCCACTTTCGATGCTTCACCGAACTCAGACGTGTTCGGTGAACTTTTTGCCTGTGATGCCTTTGAGCCTCAAGTGAGCACATCATCGCAACACAGCAAGTTGACATCAAACGGGCATGCTTGCCGGTCAAGATGTTGTCGCCGACTCGTATCGGGGAATTAGCAAGCTAACTAGCCAGGAAGGATTCAGCCCCTAGCCAGGCACGCCAGGCTGTCCTCTACGCCTCTGGCGCAAAGCACCGACTAGCCCGACATCTATCAGGCCATCATGCCATGTTGTCCCTAATCATTCCGCTGTCGTCGTATCAAAGGTCATTGGCGACGGCCATGGCGAAGATCTACAGATATATCAACTCAGTGTCTTCGACAAGTGTCATTCCACTCCATCTATGCAGTACATAGAAAAACACACCACACAATGTCAACGGCATCATCAAAGGAAAATCCTGCCCCCTCCGACGTCGCAGTGGCCGAAGCTTCGGCCTCACAAAGTGCTGTTGTCGAACAGCCAAAGGCCGATGCAGATGTTGTCGCAAAGGCCGAGGATCATATAATCCCGCCTGCAATCCAGCCACTCCAACTGGGTGACGAACCCTCCGATGCTGCTCCTCGTACAGAGCCGGAGTTGATACCTCCCGTATACATCACAGGATGGAGGCTCTACGCCATCATATCCGGGTATGCAACGCGGGCTCCGTTTCTTCGGCCGCCTTGGCTAATACCTGAACCTCCAGATTGTGCATGTCGCTCTTCTTGTCCACGCTTGAGACCACCATCGTTAGCACGTCACTTGTCTCCATTACCAACGCTTTACACGGGTTTGAACAGCGGGATTGGATCGTCACCTCGTATCTGCTTACTTACACTGGCAAGCCTGCACCTCAAGTCTTCTCCTTGTTCATTGTGTCGCCGCCGTCTGACACTGGCCAGGATTTCTCATCATATTCGCCAAGTTCAGTGACGTGCTGGGCAGAAAATTCGTCGTTCTCCTGTCTTTGGCCATCTTCACGATATTTTCCATCGTGTGTGGTGTAATATCGTCCATGGTACAGCTGTAAGACAGCCCGAGCCGTTCGTCGTCTGATATCGAAACTGACTTGGGAGGGCAGTATCATCTTCCGTGCCTTTCAGGGAGTCGGAGCGTCTGGCATATATGCCATGGTCAACGTGATCAACCCTGAACTGGTTCCGTCCGACAAATGGGGCAATATCGTCGCTGGCACCTCGCTTGTTCTCGTCTTCAGCTCCGTGTTAGGCCCAGTCCTAGGAGGCGTAATCAACGACCACTCGAGTTGGCGATGGGTCTTCTTACTCAAGTGTGTTTTCCCTCTCTCTTCCCCTCAATCGCACATATCGTAGGATTCGCACTTATCGTCCATGGTAGTGCGCCGACGGGCGCTTTTGCAACCGCTCTCCTCGCGTTCCTTTTGCCGTCCAATTTTCCGCACCAGGGCCGCGGGGTAAACCAGCCAAGCATGCGGGACAAGTTCAGCGGAGCCGCAATCGCCAGGCTAGACTTTGTAGGAGCCGCCGTGCTGCTCGCAGCATCGATCCTTCTCGTCTTTGGCTTCGAGGAGGCCGGCTCAAGATATCCGTGGAACAGCCCCATCGTCATTTCTACGATTGTTTGCGGAGGCAGTCTCTTTTTGGCCTTCATTGCATGTGAGTACGTGGTTGGCAAGCCAAAGTATCCACAAGAGCCCGTATTCCCTCTGCGGCTGTTGAAGGATCGACACTTTGTTGGCCTGTTTTTGTGAGTCTTCTCCAACTTTGCTGCAGCGCCGAGGCGTAGCTCACCAGTCGTGGCAGAACCGCCTTCTTCACCGGCCTGCCGTTCATGACCGCCTTGATCAACCTCCCGCAGCGCTTCCAAGCCGTCCACGGATTGACCCCCTTTGCTGCGGGCGTCCACACGCTCCCTCTCCTCCTCAGCTCCCCACTTGCCGCCGCAGTGTCTGGCCCGTTGACCACCAAGATGGACGTGCCGCCTTTCTATCTGTTGCTTTTTGGGACGTGCATGCAGATTCTGGGCGTGGGCCTCGCTAGCTCCGTAACTCCCGATAGATTGAGAGACTTGCTGGGGTTCGAAGCGATCATGGGCTTTGGCTTTGGTATGACACTGGTGACGGTCCTCATCTATGTCCCTTTCCTGGTTGACCGGCCGGACCTTGGTAAGCATCACCATGCAGCTGTCATGCATTTACCTGACGAATAAACATAGCCGTTTCAATGGGAGCCGTAACACAGTTTCGGACATTGGGGGGCACCATTGGCTTGGCCGTGGGGTGAGTGCCTCTTCTCCATCAAACATGTCGTCTCACTTTGTTGCAAGTTGCTGATTCGTCTTCCTATGCAGGGCGACCATTCTCAACAACCACCTCGCATCCAGTCTCCCAAACTATCTCACCCCCTCAGAGATGCAATCCATTTCTGATTCGGTTCAATTCATAGACAGGCTACCAGCCCCCACACGGACTGCCGTTCGATCCGTGTTCAGCGAGGGTTACAACAAACAGCTCCGTACCATGCTCTACTTTAGCGTCGCCGTTCTCGTCTCCCTGACACTCATGTGGGATCGAAACCTTAAACGGGCCCGTGACATGAAGGGGTATTGAAATTGCTCCGACATTGGAACGTCCCAATGCCCGTACACCATTGGGATACGAACATCGGCCAAGCTTTGGGACGGACCTACCCTTGGGATTGGAAGGTTCAGACGCCGTGAACACCTCTTGGAGCTACACGCAAAGCTTGGAGAAGTAATAGTCAGTCCAGCGGGGGAAGCTGATGCTTGATAGGAAGACCCAACTGGGAGCGGCGATGCACACAGGAGAGCTCGACGGATGCCCGGGGAACCGATGCAACGTGGGCCGGATCCTCGAAACGCGCAGTAGGGAGTGCATGTAGACTATAGTCTCAAGCAACGCCGGGAACATCTTCCGAGCGGCATTCTCCAAGACTCCACAACGGATAACCTCAAGGGGGAACGACAACACCAACTCTGCTCTCCTGCATGCGCCTAGCATACACCTTCCACCGTCCTGCAGCAACGCATGGTTGGTGGCCCTTGAGAGGAAACGGCGACACGCTGCAGAGGCGATTCGCTGTCCTGCAACACTTAATGGCCGCCCGCAGCTATTTTGATTGCTTCAAACTGTCTGACATGCAAACAATGTCCCCGAGATCGTTGGAGAGGGGTGGAGAAACCGGCTGGGTAGAGCTGCAAAAGCCTCCAATCGTGAGTCTCGATCTAGCCAAGAGAAGGCACAGCAAGCTTAGACTTCAGGCCTGCGACGATAATTCGGCGATATTTCGGTGAGTGAGCTTGACGTCAAGATCTCCTGACTCGTTCTTGCTATTCCTGAAGCTGCCCTTCTCCTCATCTGCAAAGCCTGGGTGTAGGGACTTGGCCTGCATCGAGAGGTTTTGGAGGAATATGACCAACGGGCTAGACTTCCCCCCCATCTCACCCCCAGACTTTGAATTGCGGGGTGCAGAAACGCGGGGGGCGCGGCAGTCGACCCTTGGACCGGATAATGACCACTCCAAAGCCAGGACCACTTGGACCCGGGAATATCGGGCCCTGTTGTGTGTCCGATGCTACTATGCGGGGGACTAGGAGTGAGCTCCGGCTCCAAGCTATCCTAACCATGTTTGCTTGGAGCTCTCTCAAAGAGTGAGGCAAAACTGGAAGCTCCCAAAATGGGATATACTGCACTGATTCGGGATCCAAGGTTTGGAGTGCGGCTCAACTTGTAAGGGAGACCAGGCATTGGGCTTCCTCAGACTCTCTTGGCAAGTCGGGCGAGCACTACTCCGCATATCCCGCCAATTGCCTGCTCCCGTGGCGGCCGCGTTGAGCGAGGAAGAGACTATCATCGGGCATGCGGATGTCTGGGTGCTCACTTTCATTCTGGAGGGAACATCGGCAGTGAGTTCTCCTCCACCATTGATCTACCCAACAATTGGCAACGGCGTATCAATGGCACCGCATGAAGCTGATGGTCCTGCGCCTTTGGTGTCGGTGAGTGCGGGGAAAGCTGGGAGGGCATGTTGATCGGAGAGCATAGCCATGCTGCCATGCATTGGCTTTGGGTGATACACTTTCACAGACGCGCGTCGGTGATAGGTCGCGAGCCAACAAACGACACCGGATGACACGGACTCTGCATGCTTTGGACCAAATCACATCGCGAGGGCCACGGATATCCTGGAGGGATAGTCCATGACTTCCCCTCATCCTCGCCCTCCCTGCCGGATCTTTGGTTTGAGATCCTGGAGGGTCTGGAGTAAAGTCGGGGTCGAGAACCATCCTGCCAGGACGACGAGGGGTAGTAGCGAGCAGGAAGAAGCATAGATGACTTATGCATTGCTTCCTCCCATCTCTTCATATCTATTTAACGACCGCCCCGACGGGTTGGAATTCATCTAGAACATCCTTCAATCATTCGAACGCATTAGCAGTGTTGCAGTTGACCTGGCACGGTGTTCACGCCGCTTTGACAACTGCTGCTCGACCTCTTGTACTAAACCAAGTGTCCTCAAAACTTCTTTTGATATCCCACCGGAAACATGAGTGGAGCTATTCCGGACGAGTTTGACATTATTGTCTGTGGTGGTGGCAGCTGTGGTTGTGTCGTTGCTGGACGGTTTGTCTCATCTATGCAGATTGACAGTTTGTCAGTAGTTGTTTCTCGAACAACACTAATATCCAACATAGACTTGCCAACTTGGACCACAATCTCAAGGTGCTTCTCATTGAGAATGGCGAGAGCAACCTCAACAACCCATGGGTATTCCGCCCAGGTATCTACCCACGGAACATGAAGCTCGACTCGAAGACGGCTACGTTCTACGAGTCCAGGCCGTCCAAGCATCTCTCTGGACGCTCGGCCATTGTTCCTTGCGCCAATATTCTCGGCGGAGGCTCTTCGATCAACTTCATGGTCAGTACTATATTATTTCTGGAGAAAGATCGCCAACTGACTTTTGTGACAGATGTACACCCGTGCATCCGCCTCCGACTACGATGACTTCCAGGCAAAGGGCTGGTCTACCAAGGAGCTCCTGCCTCTGATGAAGAAGCACGAGACATATCAGCGAGCTTCCCACAACAGGTAAGTTGCCATAGAGAGTAATTGAACGGCACTCAAGTCTTTGACTGACATGCCATGCGTTAGGGACACTCACGGATTCGACGGGCCTATTAAGGTTTCCTTCGGCAACTAGTAAGTTCAGCTCCCCGCAGAGTCGAACCGTAATGGAAGAATCCGAAACTAACCGTCGTTACACAGCACGTACCCCATCAAGGACGATTTCCTTCGTGCTGCTTCGTCCCAGGGTATCCCTGTCGTCGACGATCTCCAGGATCTGTCAACTGGTCACGGAGCTGAGCACTGGCTGAAGTGGATCAACCGAGACGTGAGCTTATTCTTTACCATTAACACTATCGAGGAATTCATGTTTTGAGTACTAACAATGGCATTCAGACTGGACGTCGCAGTGACAGCGCTCACGCTTACATCCACGCAACCCGGGCGAAGCACTCCAACCTATACCTTGCTTGCAACACCAAGGTTGATAAGGTCATTATTGAGAACGGCCGAGCCGTTGGTGTCCACACCATGTAAGTGATTCTGCCACTTACCCCTACCTGCTCCAAATCTGATTGTGAATCATAGCCCGAGCAAGCCACTTGTCCCCAGCGAGGTTAAGGGACGCACGTTCAGAGCTCGCAAGCAGATTGTCATTTCCGGCGGCACTCTTTCTTCGCCTCTCATTCTCCAGCGCTCTGGTGTTGGTGACCCCGAGAAGCTTCGCCGAGCTGGCGTAGAGCCCATTGTCGATCTTCCCGGAGTTGGTCTCAACTTCCAGGACCACTACCTCACGTTCTCGACCTACCGCGCGAAGCCCGGTACCGAGAGTTTTGACGATTTTGTCCGCGGAGACCCAGAGACTCAGAAGCGTATGATTTCCAATGCCCAGTGTATAATGATTGCCGGACTAACATGAATCTCAGGCGTCTTTGATGAGTGGAATATTAAGGGCACTGGCCCCCTCGCCACCAACGGCATTGAAGCAGGTGTCAAGATTCGCCCTACTCCCGAGGAACTCGCCGAGTTTGAGAAATGGCCCACTCCACACTTTAAGGACGGTTGGAAGTCGTACTTTGAGAACAAGCCCGACAAGCCAGTCATGCACTACTCAGTCATTGCTGGCTGGTTCGGTGACCACATGGTGATGCCCCCCGGAAACTTCTTCACCATGTTCCACTTCCTCGAGTACCCCTTCTCTCGTGGATCCACCCACATCAAGTCGCCTAACCCCTACGACGCGCCTGACTTCGATGCCGGCTTCATGAACGACGAGCGAGACATGGTCCCCATGGTCTGGGGTTACATCAAGTCCCGCGAGACGGCCCGCCGCATGGACGCCTACGCCGGAGAGGTTGCCAACATGCACCCCTTCTTCTCGTATGACTCAGAGGCGCGCGCGAGAGACATGGACCTCGAGACCACCAACAAGTATGCCCTGCCCGGTAACCTGAGCGCGGGTATCCAGCACGGCAGCTGGACTCAGCCGCTTAATGAGGCCGAGAGCAAGGCCGACAAGATCAAGACTCTCTCAGCTCACCGCGTTGATGCTCGTGATGAGCTCAAGTACTCTGATGAGGATATCAAGGCTGTTGAGGAGTGGGTTAAGCGCCACGTTGAGACCACCTGGCACAGTCTCGGAGTAAGTCCCTCAGGTCTTTCCAAGGTATACGAATACTTGCTGACTATGATTTAGACCTGCTCCATGGCTCCCAAGGAGGGCAACAGCATCGTCAAGCACGGTGTCTTGGACGAGCGTCTGAACGTCCACGGCGTCAAAGGCCTCAAGGTTGCCGATCTTTCCATCTGCCCCGACAACGTCGGTTGCAACACGTACGTCTTTGGGTCTCCGACTTTCATCAGAAATTCACAAGGCTAATAATGTTTTCAGATACTCGACCGCTCTTCTCATCGGAGAGAAGGCTGCCATGCTCGTCGCCGAGGACTTGGGTTACTCTGGCGAGGCCCTCGAGATGAAGGTGCCCACATATCACGCGCCCGGCGAGTTTGTCCTTCAACATCGTCTCTAATTGGATGGCACTACCTTTGTGTGCCCCAGCCTCCACAAAATTGGATGTATGTACGAGACCACAATACCTTGCGACCTCTATATTGCTTTGTGTTGTTTTTAGTTTGTCGATAGCCAATTTCAATACTGTCAAATATGCCTCGATGTGTTCAGTGACGTACCAAGAACTAGAGTCTTCTTCAGTGGATGCGGTTATTTCAAGGTTTAGTAGCATAGGCTGTACTACGGTCGGATGTCGGCAATGATTTGTATTACTTCGTTAGTTGTTGATACGGGTCTATCTGAGCTCGCATGGCACCAGTGAAACGGTTGTCTGAATCTACTACTACAACGCAGATCTCATCTGTCATCTCATGTTTAGTGTGAGACTACGCACGCTGGCGAGGACCGGCACGGACGGCCGGGTCAGTGGAAGCTATTGCGTAGTTCGGCTGATGAGCTACCAGTTACGTCATGACTGGGCCTGTCCTAATCTCATTTTCACGGTTTTTACTCCATGCTATACAATTTAAAAAGGGTAGTTGACATGTTGCATTCAAAGCATCTGCCAAGAGTATATTTGGTATCTGTAAGTTGATTCGCAAGAAGCTTGTTCCTTTCATCCATTATAAGCTCAACATTAGACAACTCGATGTCAGACCCCAACTCTCCCCACATCAAATCGCGCGATACTCCATCTTGGGGCTTGTATCAGCGGGAGAACTTTTGGAAGCTAAATGAAGGCGAAGTTCCCCAATTCAACACTCGTGAGTCCCCGTGACAGAGACGCAATGCTCACCTTGGATCGAAACTGATCAAACAGACCCCGACAAACTTGAGGAGCTTGCCAAGCAGAAGTTGACTCAAAATGGATGGTATGGGTTCGCCAAGCAAACTCATTTCTCATTTTCTAATACAGATACAGGTACTATGCATCTTCGAACGCGGGCCTTTCACACACGCATCTCGCAAACCGGCAGGCATTCTTCCGGCACAAAATCGTCCCTCGCCAGTTAGTCGACACCAACGAGCGTTCAACCCGAACCACCATCTTCGGTTATGAGGTTTCTGCCCCCTTTGGAATTGCTCCGATTGGCATCAACAAGATTTACCACCCGCAAGGCGAACTGCCCGTGGCTAAAGTGGCCGGAGAGCTGGGCATCCCTTACAGCCTCTCAACAGCCGGATCGTGTACGATTGAGGACGTCGCTCAAGCTAATGATGCTGGCCGCGCTTCAGCCATCGAAGCTCAGTCCGCAGACAAGTCCAAGATCCCAGAGGGCCCGCGCTTCTTCCAGCTTTATATGCCCCACGATGACGAGCTTACCCTCTCTCTATTGAAGAGGGCTCACGAGTCTGGCTTCACGGCATGCATTCTCACCACAGACACATGGCAGCTGGGATGGCGACACGACGACATCGCAACGTCGAATTATGCGTTTTACCGCGGTATCGGTGCTGACTTAGGCCTCGCCGACCCCGTGTTCCGGAAACGCCTCGCGGCTAAGGGAATCGATCCTCAGAAGGAGCCGGAGAAGGCTGCCGCAATGTGGATCGACAGTATCTGGCACGGCCGCGCGTGGTCCTGGGATAAGGCCGTGTGGGCAAGGGAGCAATGGCAGAAGATCAGCGGTGGAAAGCCATTCTTGATCAAGGGCATTCAAAGGGTGGACGACGCGGAGAAGGCGGCGGATCTAGGGTTCGAGGGTATCGTAGTGAGCAACCACGCTGGAAGGCAGGTTGACGGGGCGATTGCGAGCTTGGATGCGCTGGAGAAGATTGCGGAGAGGGTTGGAGACAGGATTGTCGTCACGTTTGATAGCGGTATTAGGGGTGCGGCGGATGTGGTGAAGGCGCTCGCGCTCGGTGCCAAGTTTGTTTTCATCGGGAGGTTGTGGATCTGGGGGTTGAGCATCATGGGAGAGCATGGGGTGAGGCATGTGCTGAGGGGGCTGTTGGCGGATTTGGATATCTTGATGAATGTGGCGGGGATCCCAAAGGTGAAGAATATTGACAAGGACTTATTAGAGTCTTTGCCCAAGTCTTATGGACTGACCTCGGAGAAGAGCAAATTGTAACTACAGTCTCAGAAACGGAAAGAAAACATTGAAATCCTCGTCTTTCAATCTACAAGTCCAAACTTCAATTCTACTCCATCGGCACGACATCTGATGAGGGACTAGGTGTCCTCAACGGCGTGACCACCACTGATCCCGCCAACTTCAACACCTCGTCACCAAATCCTAGGCGCCTCTGATCGGTCGACGTTTGGTTCCAAACTGGCGTTGTCGGCGTTCTTGAGAACACCATCGGCCTCGGTACTGACAGGGTAGGCTCACTTGAGCTATCTCCATCTACACTGCTTGCCCTACTTGTTTGCATGTATCCAATGGCGATTAGATATCGCAAGCTCTTCCTCAGAGACAATTTTACCGAGTCCTGGTGTTTTAGCTGGTCATCAAGCGTCATTGTCCCCGGTGGCTGACCGAGTTTGCCGCCGGTATCTTCGACAAAATGGAGAACTGGCCACAACCTGTGGCTTGGCCCTTTTGCGTTGACGTCTTCGTGCAAGCTTCTCAACCATCGTTTGCAGTCCGTCGGCTCTATTGTATGGCCTGTTTCCTGTCTGACGATGTCCCAGTACTCTCCCATGGTGAGGCCGTTCAAGACCTTCTTAACAACCTGAAAATCTCCGTTGCTTTGAGGGGAAAAACAACTGTCGAGAACCGTCTTGGCTACGAGATCAACGCCTGCAGCGGCGAGCCACAGGTCACGTTCGCTGTCATTGAACATCCCAATGTCCAATGCACTGGCGGTCAACCGCCAAAGGAAATCGTCCGTGTTGGAGATGCCGTCAGAAGAACTGCCCATGATCAAGCCAGGTTTGATAATCGTGGCTAAACAACCGAAGCCAGCATTGATCAGTCGTTCAGCGTATCGCGCGACTAGGATCTCGGCGACAAATTTGGTCTGACTATAGGCCGGATACGACTTCAGCTCCGCAGCGATTTCCCCGACATCGTCTGGAGAAGTGGACAAGTGACCGCCTGATACGTAAGTCAGGCGAACTGGACGAGATACTGTCGCTTTTGTCAAAGCTGTGAGAATGTTGACGGTCGAAAGGATATTGGCTGGCGTTAGCGCCTTAAAGTCGGCGATCCAGTTGACAACTGCCCCATTGTGGACGACTGCATCGATCAAGTCACCACCGACGCTTGTGCCATCGAGTCGAGACCATGAAGCGTCTGGAAGACCGAGATGTGGGAGAGATAAGTCGCCATGCCAGACTTCGATGCGATCGACATATCTTTCTTGCCACCAACTGCTGCCACGAGCAAGAGACAAGAGCCGCTCAGTGGCGTGGGCTGAGTCTTGACCTCTGACTAACACCACGGCCTTGTGATTCTGTGGCCGTTGCAAGATCTGCGCCAGCAATTGGTTCCCGAGAAATCCGGTGGCTCCTGTTAAGAGGATGGTCTTGGGGGTATGTGATGTCTCAATCTCTGCATATGATCTTCGCAACGGCGAGGCTGCGAGTGGTCGATCATGAACTTCAATCTCATGCATCAAGTTGATGGTGTTGTCATCATGCGACCCTTGCTGATCTTCAAAGACCAATTGAGCAATGTCCCTGATGGTCGCCGCGCTGTTCATGTACTTTTGAATCGGGATGCTGACATTGTAGGTTTTCCGAACGAATGTTGACAGTGAAATGACCTGGATAGAGTCCATCCCAGCGTAGAAGGGGTTAAAGTTGTGACCACGCAAGGTTTCTGCTCTCTGAGAATCGCCAACCGATAGAAGCTCGGCAATCTTGTTGCTGATACACAAAGCAATGTACTCGCTAGCCGCTAGCATGTCGGTTTCTTCCTTCACCATGGCACGTTCTGAATTCTCAGCAATGCACAAAGTCGAAGCGTGTTCTTTCAATGTGCGCCGGTCGAGCTTCCCAGTCGGCGTGAAAGGAATGACCTCGACTGGGATCAAGTGCGAGGGAACCATGTAGGCAGGAAGCACGGAGGCCAGTTGCTGCGTCAAGCGACCAGAAATGCCCTCGATGATGTCTCTCTTCTCCGCAAAGCCGAACCCATTGTCTTCTAGCTGAACGAAAGCCACAAGCGACTTACTTGAAGATCCAGAGAGGATGAGGGCGTCAACAGCTACAATGGAGCCCGGCGGCAATAGCTGAGTGAGTTGATGCTCTACTTCTCCGGGCTCGACTCTTTGTCCGCGCAGTTTGATTTGTGTGTCTTTCCGTCCAAGATAAGATATCGAACCATCGTAATTCAGAATCCCAAGGTCGCCTGTCTTGTACATTCTTCTGACAGCAATGCCAGTCTCGAATTGGGTGATCCAAGCCGGATTCGTGATGAACGCCTTGGCTGTCTTGTTTGGATCGCCTAGATATCCACGAGCAATACTCGGCCCTTCGATCAAAAGCTCACCGACAGTGCCGATTGGCGCCAGGATGTCATGATTGCATGGATCGACGATCCAGGTAAGAGTGTTGGCTCCATGACCAATAGAATCTGTCTTGAACCCACCACTACTGATATCAGCGGTGGTACAGACACTGCCTTCGCAGGGTCCATAAGCATTGATGAGCTGCACAATCCCAGACCACGTCTCGATGCAATCCATGGTCATTGCCTCTCCACCCATGCAAATCGTCTTGATGCTGGGGAGATCTTTCGGCTCAAGAGTTCGTGCGAAGGACGGAGTGAAGAAGGCCCAGCTCGCCTGAGACCTCGAGATAAAACCAGCGAGGTTATTCATCCTTTCTTCATCGGATGGTACACAGATGCAGGCTCCAAGAACGAAAGAATTGACAATCTCAATGATGCTGACGTCAAAGACATGAGCGGAGAATTGAAGGATCCTTGAGCTCTTGGACATGCGCATCCCACTAGAATGGGCATTGGCAGCTGAGCACAAGGTCTTGTGTTCCTGAATAACACCCTTGGGCTGTCCAGTGCTGCCAGACGTGAAGATGACAGTTGCGGCATTGCATGGTTGAACCTCATGGTTGGAAAAGGTGGCAATTCCAACTTCCTCAACCTTGGTGAAGAAGTTTGAGTCAACAACAACAGTGCGAACATCCAGCTCAGAGAATGCATATGCATTGCTACCAGAAGCGACAACCACGTTTGCCATTGTTTCGCGGACAATGAATGCTTTACGGTCTCGTGGATGTGCAGGGTCGAGGGGGACCATCGCGCCTCCAGCTTTGAGAATAGCAAGCATCGAGATGACGGTATACATCGACTTTTCGAAGCAATATGGTACCATCGTTTCTGGTCCAACACCCAATTCCATCAAGACTCGAGCAAGCTGGGATGCCATTGTGTCGAGTCGAGAGTAGGTCAGACAGCCATCCCATGCGAAAACGGCTTGAGCCTCAGGTTGATTGCGCACATGTTCTTCGAAGACTGCGTGAACGCATGTATCGACCGTTTGAGGCGGGAGTTTGTTCCATTCCTCAATATCGGACAGATCCTTTGCGATGGGATTGCGGAAGAAATTCTCCAGGACTTGATGTTCGGAAGAGGCCAGGAACTCAAGAGCGCTTGCGAAGTAGTCGACAAGGCGTTCCATCTCGGCAGCTTCGACAGACTGAGGATCGTAATTCACATTTAGAAAGACCTCGTCCTTCCCAAGATTGCACTCAAACATGATATCGTGAGATCTGAACTTGTCAAGGTCCTGAGGCCTATGATAGCTTATGAATGGACTATTTTCCATGGCCATATCGACCTCCGGCTGTACGATCATCATAGTTTGAAAGTCGCAGGCTGATCGGCATGAAGAATTGATGCGAGCAATATTCTGTATTCCCATCTGCTCGAAAGGGATCATGTTGATCGTGCTCATCTGTATGCTATCAAGCAAGTCGCGGACCGTTGATGTGCCATTACACCATATCCTTAATGGGACAGTTGCGATGATTGGCCCGAGGATGGACTCGATATTGTCAAAAGGGGCATTCCTCCCAGACGATGTGACACCGAAGACGACGTCGTTAGAGTTGCTGAAGCGGCTGATGACCAATGCCCAAGCTGCACGCAGCATAGTAGTTGCAGTGGCATCCGTACTTGACGTCGGCACAGGAACCTTCCGAAGCACAAAAGCTGGTCCTTGATGCTCCAGAGCACCATGCACTGTTGATGGCTTCCTCGGGAACGATACGAATTCTCCTCCCTCGAAGACTGAGCTCCAGTACCTCGATGCAGATTCCATATGCATGCTCTTGAAGTGCTTCATAAACGAGGCAAAGGAAGTTTCAGTTGGCTCTAGAGCACCATGGAAAGCATCCCGTACTGATTGAAGGGTGAGGCCAACGGCTTGGCCATCAGTCACAGCGTGGTGCACCGTCCATACCATGTGAGAAGCATCCCCTCCTACATTATAGACGATGCCGAACCGATTGAGCGGCACTCCAAAGGTTGAAGGTGCGTCCAAGTCCACCGCGAGATATTCTTCGAGATTGAAGCTCTCATTCCAAGTCAAGTTCTCTCGGACTATGACTTGGAGGATACCCGAAGAAATAGTGTCAACCAATCGAACGCGGAGCATTCCGTGAGCCTCGGCGACAGTCTCCCAAGCCATCTTCAACCTTGCAATATCGGTTTCGGCGGCGATGTCAAGAACGTACTGGACCAAGTAAGATTTGGAAGTTGAAGAAGATAGTGCCATGAGACCTTCCTGTAAAGGGGTACAAGGAAGTACATCTTCAACGTCTCCTGTGCTAATGGCACATTCGCAGGAAATCTCATGGAGCACTTCCGTAAAGCCTTCCTTGTTGACAAGCTCGAACGGCCGTACCTCGAGAGTTGTCTTCTTGAACTCAGTCGCAAGTAGGCAAAGATCTTGTAAAGATGGACTCTTGAAAATCTGAGCTACACTCAGTTGCAACCCTTTTCTTCGAGCAGCAGTTACTAGACTGATAGCCGCAAGCGAGTCTCCGCCAAGACGGAAGAAACTACTAGTAGCCACGATCGCGACAGGCTGGATTCCGAGCACCTCAGCCCAGAGATCTCGTAGGAGACAGAGCTGTGGCGTCTCTTCGACCTGCACGACA